GCTTGAGCCCAGGAGTTTGAGGTTGCTGTGAGCTAGGCTGACGCCGCAGCACTCTAGCCAGGGCAACACAGTGAGACTCTGTCTCAAAAAAAAAAAATTGTCAAAGTGAAATGTCAGCAAAATCAACTTGCAAACTTAGTACTTAAGGAAATCGGACATTTCATACTTAGTAACCTAATAGCTTATCAGTTAGTTGACTCTTATCTAAACAATGTTATAATGATTGGCTAAAGAAAGTTTTGAAGTATTAGTCAGTGTGTAAAATATTTTGGGAGCTCACATTTTTTTTTGAAAGGTATTTTTAAACACTAATGAAAGAAATTGCAGATGATACAAACAAATGGAAAAATATCCCCTGCTCATAGATTGGTAGAATCAACATCGTTAAAATGTCCATACTGCCCAGAGTGATTTACAGATTCAACACAATCCCCAATACCAGCATCACATTTCACAGATTTAGAAAAAATTATCCTAAGCTTCATTTGGAACCAAAAAAAGCCTGAATGAACACTGTTCTGGTGATAGGCACACCAAAAGCCCAGACTTAAGCATTATACAAGATATCTAGATAACAAAAACACTTGTACTCCCTTAATTAATATTTGGAAATAAAAATGAATAAATAAATACAATTAGAAGGTATTTTTAATCCCCAAATAGCAGTATTATAGTTAATCATCTGCTCAACAGGTTGGTCCCCAGAAACAAAAATCATTTTCCACTCAGTATTGTGAGTCCGTCACCAGGATGCCTGCACTAAAAGGGAGGTAGCACTGAGGGCCCATAGAACTTCAAAAGAATTGGTTGCTTTAACTTAAAAAAAGGAAATGTTCATTCAATGTAGAGAAAATTACTGCAATGGTCAGTACTGTTGGCCCTGGGTAAGCTGAAAAAAGAATTGGTTCTAAAAAAACAATTCAGCAAGCATCTCAACATCAAAGCCATTTAGTTGGGAAATAGTGAGGCCTTTGGCATGGAGCCTTCACAGGGGGAGAGAGTTGAATGCAGACAGCTCTAGGTGCCTAGTTATAGTCGACAAACAACTTTACGTGTTCTCGTCGGCCCTATTGACTAGGCATCTAGACCACTAGCACAGTTCTAGGCTAGGGCTGATGCCTTTTGCAGGGAGGAGCTGATGCCTGTATGTGTGGGGACAGTATCTCAGTGTCCAGAATGATACCCATGAGCTGTGTGTGGCTAGGGGCACTTGAAATGTGGGAGCAAATTACAATGTGCCGTGAGCATAAAATACACAGCAAATTTCTAAGACTTGGTATGAAAAAAGAATGTAAAATATCTTATTAATAATGTTTATATGGATTATAAGTTGGGATGATAATATTTTTGATAGTTTAGTTAAATGAAATGTATTATGAAATTTCACCTATTTCTTTTTACTTTGTAATGTGGTCACTAAAAATTTGAAACTACTTGTGTGGCTTGCATTATCTTTCTGTAGGGCAGCACTAGTCCAAACGATTTTAGCCTTCCCTTCATCTTTAGCTTTATGCACAAGGAGCTATAAAATTAACTATTTTGTCAACCGTTTTTATTTGTTTTTCTTTCATGTTCTGACCAATTTTTGAACAACTCTTTGGACCAATTCTGTAGCCAATTTGATTAAAACATTTAGAATAGTAGGAAATCCCAGCTTGATAAGGCTCTGGTTTAGTTTTCCAAATACATATCTCTAACAGGCAGTCAATAACCTTAGATTTCAGCTTCTTTTTTCAGTTTGTTAATTGGGATGAAAATTTCTTCATTTTAGATATTCTGAAATGTGGTAGCTAGACAAAACCAGTTAAATACCCTATGGACTATGCATGGTGTACTAGCACAAGAGCAGCCCTGCTGTAGAGTGCTTTTTACTTGGGGAGCCAGGTTATATTCCTTTATTGGTTGCTTTGTACAGTAATAAGAAGTAGCATCAGCAGATGTTCTAACCGTGGTTTATTAAGTACCAATGGTGTACCATGCACTGTGCTAGTCTCTTTCCATATATCACCTCTCTGAACCCTCTCAACGAGCCTTGTGGGGGGGGATAGCATTACTCCTTGCTTAGAGAAAATGCGTGTGATGCTCAGAGAAGGCGAGTAAGATATCAAGGTCACACTGCTAGTAAATGGTAGAGCTGGGATTCAAATCTAGGTCTTTGGACTCCAAGAGTTATACTGTTAACCACCATGATATACTCCCTCCATCTTCTCTCCCAGGAAAAGTTGGATCAAGGATTGGGCTCACTTCAAGAGCCAGGATCAGAGCTGAGCTCTGTGGTCACGAACAAAAGATAGGACACAAATTAATAGCAGCAGTGTCGGTTTAGCAAACTGCCATAAGGATGCTCCAGAAGGCCCCCTCCTGGCCGCTCCCACCGGTGGTCAGGAGGCAGGGGCCCAGGAGAGGGCGTCGAGGGATTCCAGGCAGAGGCAGGCCCAGGGCAGGAGAGGGAGCAGTGAGCGTTGAGGGGTGAGAGGAGCACGGAGCTGGACTGGCAGGCCGGGCCAGGCTGAGACATTGCGGGAGGCTTGCCAGGGGGGTTGAGTCATTCTTTGGGGAGAACCACAGAGTTGTTTTTTTTTTTTTTCACGGAGCCATGCTTTAGTAAGATCACTCTGCCGGCACAGCATAGGACGAGTTAATAGACAGGAGCCTGGAGCTGGGGACACTGGTTAGTGGATGAATGAAATAATCCAGCCAAGCAGAGGAGTGAGTGTGGTAGTGGCGGGAATGAATATGCAGGGCTAGGTCTGAGAAAAACTGTAGCGGTCCTATTAATAGAACTTTCAGAACACGGGCTCTGGTGCCAAACTCCCTGGGTCCAAAGGCCAGCTCCATCTCTCACAGGCCTCAGACAAGTCATTTAAACTCTCTGTGCTTTGGTTGTCTTCTGTGGAAAATGGGCATAATGAAAGTATAGAAATAACAATGATAGTGTAGATAACAACAGCATAGAAATAACAATGTGCAGAAATATGTTAACATAAGGAAAATGCTTAGGATAGTGGCGGGTTCATTATCGTGTTCAATGGTAGCTATTCTGATTATTATTATAATATTATTATTCAAGAAAGAAAATCAAAGCAGCAGGAATTTTGACTCTTGGTGCCTAGAAGGTGATGGCACTAGCAAGTGTAGCAAAGGAGTCAGACAGGAATTTACTTGGGAAGAAAAATGATGCATTTGAGTTTGGGTGCTGGCGTATCGCTTGGGTAGTGACGTCCAGGCACAGAATCGGAGATGCAGGTTTCAGGCCTGGGACTGGAGTTACAGATTGGGGAGCATCTTCATCAGGACAGTAACTGATGTCCTGAGCATCTGAGGTCACCAGGAAAGAACAGCCAGGTGCCCTTGGGTGGTGGGGAGAGGCCGAGGAGCCAGGACTGGAGGAGCAGGTCCAGGAGGAGAGCGGGGAGCACTTGTTAGTGATCCCCAGGGGGAGGCTACGTGTCAGAGCCGCAGAGAGACAGAAGGGGACCGAGTGATTGGTTAAGGCCTTGGCTCTGCTGAGTGAGTTGCTGTGGCTGGTGTGGGGATGAAGAAAGGATCGTGTGCAGCAGCGAGGGCCTGGGTGCAGGGGGACCGATGGATGGGCCATGAGGTTTCCTTTCTCCTCAGTTGCCAGGTGGAACAGTGCTCAGGTTACCCAGGGAAACCAAGCTAGAGAAGCAGGCTTGATTCCTTGGCAGGTGATGCCGGCTGTGGGCATGCGTGAGGAGACCCCTGGGAGAAGGCAGAGGGGCCGAGAGAGCACTCAGCTACGCCAGGTGCCGCTCCCGGGAGTCCCGTGTGCCTGTGCTAGCTTGAGGAGCATCGCCCACTTTCTTTATCCCTGTCTCAGAAATTCACAGCACCCGTTCCACATCCAATGGGGTTCCTGATAGGAAAGCTTCTAATTTGCTTCCCTTTACCTCACCCCTGTGACCACAGCACTAATTTTTCATGAATTTCCTTTAGCAATGGAATATGAATGCTTGGGGAATTCTGGCCTGGTCTGATGTGCGGGCTCCGTGGAAATACACAGACCACAGGGGAGGCAAAAGACCAAGAGATGGACCTCAGTTTGAAGGGGCTTGCCCAAGCAGGGCTGCGGCTTTGCTCTTTGGCTGGTCTCCTCTGAGCTAGCCTGAGATTGTTCTGTCATTGTCACAAAGGTGACTAAACAGGAAGAGAAGTTTGAGGTGGGAAGAAAACCATGCCCAGGAGTTTCATGTGGCAAAGAAGGAAATAACCGTTAGAAAGCAGTGACAGTTTACACGTGAGTCTTACAGTCTCAGCTCTGTTATTTGGTAATTTCAGAGATGCTCAGACTGGGTTGGTGGGAGGAGCCTTGGGACAGTTAGTGCTACATACTGAAGGCCGTGCCTCAGGTGGGACTCAAGGTACCATCCCATGAGGGCCCAAGCCATTCATTCTCCCTTCATCTGTGCTCTCTGGCTCCTTTGCCTTTGATGAGTTTATTACAAAAGGTTTACTCACATTAAAATAGGAGGATAATTAAGACTCCTGGTCTGCAGCCCAGGTTGACTTTTGATAATTGATACAATGGATAATTTTACAAGTTACTAATATGACTTTTTTTTCCCATTCATAGCAGAAGATGAAGCCAAAGGTGTAAAAACTAAATTATTTTAAAAACTTTAAAAAGCCATCTGATTTCCCATTTGAGGATTGCACCTCTTTAAGGAAACTCTGCGAGCCTTTGAAGAAACCTTCATCAGCAGCTATACTTTTTAGAAGAAATATCAACTAACAAGCATTAGTTTCTACTCTACCATCAGCATATTATACGATTTGGTGCTTGCTTTCTTGTCACTAAATTGTTTTTACTGGAGAAACATTTGTTAATAAAATTGTAAATATGTACATAAATAACTAGGTGGCTTTGCTGTTTTTTTCCTGTTAAGATAGACAAATAAGAGTCACATACCTTTTGAGAATCTATACTCCATTTCCTTTTTGGGAAAATAATTCATTGCAGGATCAGTCGTGGAGTGAGGGAGAAGATGGACAAAGTATGGTCCCTTGCTGGGTCTGTGGCTGTGGACGGGAGGCAAGCGAGCACAGGGGTCTCCTCGTCCTTTGAAAAGACCAAGTCACCACCATCCCGTGCAGTTGTGTAACGTGGGCGGGGCAACAGACTGAACCCACTTAGTGTATTGTGTTAGTTGGCTGTCACATTGGGGGTAAACAGCAGGCAACACTTGGGCAACTGTGAAGTCACACACAATACAGAACGGCAGCCACTCCTGAGGAGACAGATAGCTGCAGGGCCCCTGGCAGCCACCGTGTGAACCAGAGTCAACATGCAAATGCCCGAGCTCCTGAGTCCCCGGGATTCCTCTCAGAGTCTGCGACCTGAAAGAGGACGTACATGTGCTGCGCTCCAAGGTAGGCCTGAGAAGAAGGGGCCCTCAGGAGACGTGTATTCTCTCTAAGACGGCCTCCATCTGAGCTCCCCATGGCCCGCAGCAAGAGTGAGGAAGAGGCCCCAGAGCCCTGCGTACTGCTGGGAAGACCCACATCTGGCCGTTCCCCACCTCCTATCTGAGTCTATCCCCAACTAATCTTACCAAACCTTGTATTGCAGGCCCTGTGGGATGCCCAGGACTCCCATGGAGACCTTCATCCCCAAGTGGCCCTGTGTGTGACCCAGCCATCGATGCAACATTCCCTATATCCTCCTTTGCACGTCTCCTTCACCTTTCTGTTCTAATTGAACCTGGCTCTCCCCGAAGCTGCCCGCCACAGCCCTCTCAAGGGGTAGCTGTTTTCTTTCCTGTACCCCTTGCATGTGGGGCCCAGAGGGAGGGCGGACGTCCTCCTCACTCCTTCTGCTTCCAGACCGTTGCTCCTTCCTCAGCTCTGATGCTCGCGCCAGCAGGTCATCGTCTCCCAGCATCCCCTTTTCTAGTTATGTTTGTCAGTCCTCATGCCTTGGCGGTTTCAGCACTACGTCAAAGTCCTGTCGCTGACACTACTTCTTTCAGAATTTGAATGCTTTCAGAAATCTACAGATCCAGTCCCGTGGCATGGTCTCATCTTCTTCCTTTCTCAGCTAGCTGCCCCCTGACTGTGCTCCTGACCTTCCCACTGCAGTGTATGCAGCCCCGCAGTCTCGGTTCCAGCCCCACTTCCTGTCTTCCACATCACCCCCTTGAGGGCTCTGATTCCAAAAACTCTTCCTCCCTCCTAGACCCTACAAGCCAGTGCTCTCCCCACCTGCTCCCTGAGCCCTCTGAGCTCTCATTCTCCCTCTCACCCGGCTCATCATCGCGATTACTCCTGGACCTTCGCTCCCTCTCTCATTGGTCATTCTCATCCGGCTAAATCCCAGCCACGCGCAGTTACCTGTACCATTCCCTCCCTGAACCCAAACTGCCGAACATGTCTGGAGACAAGGCCACCACCAGGCTGATTAGTTTCACTTTAATGACCTCAAACCCAGGTGGATTCGTGGTGTTTCTCAGATGTCCTCCTTGCGTTGCCCTGTCACTATTTCCTTACCTCCTCTCTTCTTAGACCTCCAATCCTGTGTCCTTACTCTCAGTGGGTCACTTTGCTTCCCATCTCTCTAGAAAAAACAGTGTCTAGAAGAGACCGCCCTGACCCTTCCACCACACCCACATGCTCCCAGCTGCTGGTACTCTGCCTCCCTTCTGTCCGCTGTGGGCAAACTCTTCTTGTTCCTCCCGGAACCAGTCTCTGTAATCTGCAGCATCTGACACGGAGGGGCCCTGCCACATGTTTACTTGGAGCTCCGTAGGTGCCAGGTTCTACAGGAGTACACAAGCTGAAGAAAGCCCGTAATCTCCCAGGACAAACAGACCTGTGAGCACTTTTGGTAAGCATGCAAAGTTCTGAAATGGAAGTATGTGCAAAGAATTAAGGAATTATAACCATAGGACCAGCAATTGCACTCCTAGGTATATGTCTAAGAGGAGTGAAAACATATGTCCTCACAAAAACTGACAGATGGCTGTTCGGAGCAACTTTATCCGTAATAGCCAGATAGTAGACGTGATTCAAATGTCCATCAACTGACGAATGGATAAATAAAGTGTGGTATAGCCATTTAATGGAATATTATTCTGTTACAAAAAGGAATGGAAGCCGGGCGCGCTGGCTCACGCCTGTAATCCTAGCACTCTGGGAGGCCGAGGCGGGCGGATCGTTTGAGCTCAGGAGTTCGAGACCAGCCCGAGCAAGAGCGAGACCCCGTCTCTACTAAAAATACAAAGAAATTATCTGGACAACTAAAAATATATGGAGAAAATTAGCCGGGCATGGTGGCGCATGCCTGTAGTCCCAGCTACTCAGGAGGCTGAGGCAGGAGGATCGCTTGAGCCCGGGGGGTTTGAGGTTGCTGTGAGCTACGCTGATGCCACAGTGTTCTAGCCCCAGCAACAGAGTGGGAGTCTGTGTCAAAAAAAAAAAGGAATGGAGTTCTGATACATGTTACAACATGGATGAACCTTGAAAACATGCTTAGTGAAAGAAACCAATCAAAAGAGACCACATATACATTGTTCTTCAGTATCTACAGGGGATTGGTTCTAAGATCCCCTCTGGTGCCAAAATCTTATATAAAGTCCCTTATATAAAATGGCATGCTATTTGCATATAATCTATGAACATCCTCCTGTATACTTTACATCCTCTCTAGATTACTTATAATATCTAATACCACGTAAATGCTAAATAGTTGTCACACTGTATTTTAAAGAAGTTTTTTTTAGAGATGAGGTCTTGCTGTGTTGCCCCAGCTGGAGTGCAGTGGCTATTCACAGTTGAGGTCATAGCTCACTGCAGCCTCGAACTCCTGGGCTCAAGCGATCCTCCCATCTCATGCTCCCGAGCAGCTGGGACTACAGGCGTGCACCACCATGCCTGGCTTATACTGTATTTTTTTAATTTGTACTTTTTTTCATTTTGTATTGTATTGTTATTTTTATTGTTTTTTTCCCCAAATATTTTAAATGTGTAGTTGGTTGAATATACAGATGTGGAACCTGAAGATACGGAGGGCCAACTGTAATTTCATTTATGTATGTCCAGAATAGACAAATCTACAGAGACAGAAAGTAGATTGGTGTCCGTCTAAGCCTAGGGAAGGATGTTGGGGGTGGGGAAGGGAGTTACAGCTGATGAATACAAGGTTTCTTTTTGGGGTGATGAAAATGTTCTAAAATTGATTATACCAAGCATTGTATAACTCTGAATATACTCAAAACCTTTGGATTGTGCATTTTAAATGGGTGCATTATACAGTATGTGAATTATACCTCAATAAAACTGTTCTTAACAAAAAAGAACTAAGGAATTATAAGAGGGGGGCTTCCCACTCCTGGGAAAGGTGGGATTCCTGCCCTGACCCGTGCCTTCCCTGCCAATTTCTTCATCCGGGACTGAGGCCGAAAGGGTCTGTAGGTGACTATCTCCCCTTAGGACTTTGAATACACTTCTCAGTCTAGTAAGGGTGGAAAGTTACCAGGGCACAAAGCAAGTCTGAGCAAAGAAAAATAATCTAGCCACATACACTGGCCAGTGAGTCTACGAAAGGGTCTTAAACCCGAGTTTGACTTAGGATCTTGAGACAGATTGTCCCACCATGTTTCTCATCCTGCCGCCCCCAGCCATGCTTTGTCCAGTGGAAAAGTCCCCTGGTCATCTGTCTTCCTCGCACTGCTATGTCCACACTGCTCTGTGCTTCTTGCCCTGCTCCTCCAGGCTCGTCCCCCCTGCAAAGCCAGCGGCACAGCCAGCTGACCCTTCCCACAGTCAGCAGTGCACCCTCCACCCTCCACCCTTGGCCTCATCTCTGCGTCCCCTGGGCTTCTCCCAGTAACTCTGTCTCCACTAGCAGCCCTCTTTAATGGAGAGGCAGGTACTATTGCTATCTTTGTTTTACAGATGAAGAAAGGGACAGGGACTTGCCCTCGGTCAGTCAGTTGTAAGTGGCAGAGCCAGGATTCAAACCCAGGCAGCGTGGCCCCAGAAGCGGAGGCCTCTTAACCACCATACCGGGAGAAGATAAATGTGTGCGGTCCGTCTTCCATGTATACTTGGGAGTCCTCCAAAAGTCTTCTCCAAGTTTTGTTTTGTGTTTGTCCAGGAAAGAGTTTATCCTAAATTTAGGTATTCTCTAAAGAGGTCATTTGCTTTTAACCACTTACGTTGAGCATGTAGCAAAGACACCAAACCCTATGATGAGCTCTGCCTTCTGGAATCCTAAGGCTAGAGCTGTCCTCAGAGGCCTCATCAGACAGATGAAAAACATGCGCTGAGAGAGGGAAGGTAGCTGGACCAAGGTCACATTGTTAGTTCAGTGGGAGAACCAGAGACAGGAGCCCCAATCACTTGGTCTCCACTCCTGCCCAAGCTTTTGCACGACACCAGGGTGCCTCCCAACAACCACCCTTAGTGCTGCCCAAGGAAGCATGGCACTGGCTCCTGGGGCCATGCAGCGGGTGAGCAGCCCAGCACCCGGTGAGGGCTGTGGTGCTGGCTGTCTTGGGGGTTGCCAGTTCCTCAGGGTCAGAGCAGGAGTGGCGGCTGAGGGCAGAAGTGAGAACAAAGTGAGCAATGTGTTGGTTGCCCAGTCTGGCTGATGCCTAGGGAATCAGGAGAAGAGTCCTTCCTCTCTCCCCAAGTTCTTCCTCTTCTTGATCACAACATCTCTTTTTCTCCTCCAAGACTACTTTTTCAAGATCCTCCCATGCAAAGGAAAAATTAGTGCTC